ATCTATGTGTCTATATATCTATATATCTATGTATCTATGTGTCTATGTGTCTATCTATCTATCTATCTATGTATTTGTCTGACTGACTGTCTGTCTGTCTGTCTATCTATCTATGTATCTGTCTATCTCTATTATCTATCTCTATGTATCTATCTGTCATCTATCAATCTAATTATCTATCTATATCTATCATTGATCTCTATGTATCTATCTACAATCTATCTATCTGTCTATATATAATCTATCTCTATGTATCTATCTATGTATCTATGTATCTGTCTGTCTGTCTGTCTGTCTGTCTATCTATCTATCTATCTATCTATCTATCTGTCTGTCTGTCTATCTCTATCATCTATCTCTATGTATCTATCTGTCATCTATCAATCTAATTATCTATCTATCTATATCTATCATTGATCTCTATGTATCTATCTACAATCTATCTATCTATATATAGTCTATCTCTATGTATCTATCTATGTATCTATGTATCTATCTGTCTGTCTGTCTATCTATCTATTTGTCTATCTATCTCTGTGTCTATCTCTATCATCTATCTCTATGTATCTATCTATCATCTATCAATCTAATTATCTATCTATATCTATCATCTATGTATCTATCTACAATATATCAATCTGTATATATCATCTATCTCTATGTATCTATCATCTATCTCTATCATTCTATCTCTATCTAATATTTTCTATCTAACTATCATCTGTCTAATTTTTCTGTCTGTTGCTCCTTTCTTTCTCCTTTCTTTCATCTCACTTTTTACTCCTAAGTAGTTTTCTGACAAACAAGGACTTTTAAATTTTTTTTTTAAAAAGTATCATATGAAGAGAATACAAAGCAGTACCAAAAAATAGAACAGAAAAAAGTACAGAACTTTACTTGAGGGCTAGGAGCTGACTGAAACTCCTACAAGTTCTTCCGGCTAGTGTGTGGGTGTCATATATATTCGACTGGTTCTTTCAAAGATGATCATAGGGTCCCCAGCCTGATGATGATCCTGTTTAATTGTCTAAATAAAAGCATTACTAAGACACAAACAGGAGCAGGGGAGACGGCTCGGTAGAATAAGCGCTTCCCTGGCAAGTGCGAGGGCTCGAGTTCAATCCCCGGGTTCTGCCAAAAATAAATAAATAATAATAATAATAATTTAAAAAAAATACTAAGACACAAGTTCCACTTCGGAAACAGAACTCACTACAGAGCCCTACGAGTATATATCCGTTCATTCATGAATAGATGACATTTATATCTTAGTACATAGTACATGTGTATATATGACCAAGTGTTTATGTAGTCACATGCACATATATATTTTCAGAGGACATTTGCATACGCTTGTACATATTTCGAATCCTCTCTACGTGACTTATCCTGCTTACAGAAAGGTAAGTGGTATCTAAGTAACTGAAGAATCTTTGTCTTGGACCATTTAGGGGATTCTGAAGAATCAATCCACAAGTGTTCATTACTGATGGTTTCATTCAGACACTCCTCAAAATTTCTTGTTTGAATTGTTGCAGGTATGAACGTCAGACAAAAAAGACTGACTGTGTGTTTAGGAACAGGAGTGGGGTGAGGAAACAAGGAGACATAGAAATATACATTAATTAAAATAAAAATAAATTTTCTTATGTAACATATATCTTGTATTTATGCAAATGTCTGCATATATTTGCATATATTATATATTTGGCCTAAGTGTAGTAGAAAATATAAGCAAGCAAAAGGAACACACACAACAGGATTGGCCGATATTCTTCTAAGCATCTTATCCATATACAGCAGAAACTTGAATCCCAAGTATCTCACACGACTACAAGCATGGTGCACCTGTTCTTCATCTCTTGCACTGTGGCATATGTACAAAAACCCATGAGGCATCCGACCCTCCTACCTGCCTGTGCTGGGCTACTTAACCTGGACGACCTTGTGCTGAGTTAAAAGTGGAGGTGCTCCGGGCACAGACAAAGGGTCAGTTTTCCTGGTTCTAAGACAGCAAGGGTCAGAATCAGACACCCTGAGGCCCTTTAGTTTTATAGAGTATTTCTGGGAGGTTCATGAAATGCCAAAGTCCCAATGCTTTGACTTTTACCAAAAGTCCATTTATATCACTTCTGATTTTTGTCTGCTTTTTCATTTTCTTGTCTTCCTTTATTTCTTTTCTTCCTTTCTTTTTTTTTTTTTTTTTTTTCGGAACCAGGGATTGAACTCAGACCCTTGTGCTTGCCAGGGAAGCACTTATCCTCTGAGCCATCTCTCCAGGCCCTCTTTCTTTCTTTTTTTTCTTGACAAGCAGCGGCTTAATAATCTGGTCTTCACTAAAGACATAGAGACAGATGGGAAGAACATGTAAGTAAACCAACCTTCAGGGGTCAGGCTTTGTGCATTCGGTTTAATAAAAGCCATTATGGTGGCCTGGAGGGATCAAAAGGTAGTGGGGACAAGTGACAGGGATGTGACTCTATGACGGAATTTATTTCTTTAACAACAAAATGGACAAACATCAAGGAAGCCATCAAGTTTTTTGTTCTTGTTGTTTTAGGGATTTTTTTTTGTCTGTTTATCTTTTGACACAAGATTTCACTGTGCAGTTCAGGATAAGCTCGAACCCACTGTGGAGCCCAAGTTAGCCTGGAACTCATAGAGATCCTCCTACCACGCCAGACCATGAAGGTTTACAATAATAATTTTCATTTAGTTTCTTAGGGCTATCTGAATGGTCAAAAACTGCAGACTTTTATAATGACCCAGCCATTGTCCCTGTACCCTTGTGCACAAAGGGCGTGATGGCACTGTGTCACAGCAGTCCATGTTTATAGCAGCACAGCCATGTGTATGGTAGCTCATCTCAGAACAGCTAACCTTTAAAAGCAGCCTGTCTGTCCATCAGTCAATCGATGAGCACAGACAATCTGCTATGCCCACACTGTGGAGTGCTATGCTGCAATGAAGAAGGATAAACTTGAATCATTTTTAGGCACCTGGATGAACTTTCAATCCATGACATTAAGTCAAATAAATAAGACACACAAGCTTAAATAGCATGTGTTTGCTTATACATGAGAAAGTCAGTGTATGAATGAACTTGTAAAGCAAGCTGAAGGATGGATCATAGCGGACTCGGGGTGGGTTTTTTGATAAAAGGAAGGAGATTAACAGATGGAAAGACAGATGGGGAAAGAGATGAAGAGAAGTAAAAATGAATTATGTGCACTCAGCAGCCCCACACTGCACTCTTTGCCCCTATAAAAAGGGGAGCAGAGCCCATTCTAAAGCCCCTGCATGATGGGCTGGTTTCTATTTAGCTCCCCCTGCTTTCCTAGAAAATAAACTTCTCCACAGCTTAGAGCATTCTTTGTTCCCTCCGTGCCCCAACATCGGTGGCTTTTCTGCTCTCCTCTGAGTGCCAACTTCTACACTACCACCCATGCTGGGCATTCCTGCTCTGTAACCACTTATGGCCACCATGAACCTAGATCCATCAGAAAGTTGCTTCTGAGATGCTGTTTGGGAGGTCAGTGTATCTTCTCTGCTGTTATTTTGGTTTTCAGCATTTGTTTGTTGTTATTTTTCTTTGTTGTTGTTCTTGAAACAGGATCTTGCTTTATAGGTAAGGCTGGTCTTGAACTCACGACATAGCCCACCAGGATCTCATGGAGATCTTCCAGCCTCAGCCTCCTGAGTGCTGGAATTACAGGCTTGCATCACCATGCCTGGCAGGAGGCCAGCGTATCTTAATTTGAGGGCCCCAACAGTGACTCTTACACACTGGGAAGGAAGGTCCATGCCTGATGCTGCCGTGGCACTAAGCACAGGCTGGGTTTTTATTCTCTTGAAACAGGAAAGATGTGTGTGATGTGTTCCTCACATCTCGCCCTGGTCCTTTCTGGGTTTCTCGTATCAGAATCCTCCTGTTGCATACCTCCTGTCTCAACAGGCTGGGCTACCGTTCCTTGGGACACATACTGTTCTTCATCATTTGTGTCACATGTTTTGAAAATGAGCCATATATAGCTTAGTGTCCTGGGAATCTAGACTCACTCCTGGCACACTTAATGGAATAACCACAAAAAATGAAGCCTGATAAAGTCAACAGATTTTCATTAGCACTTGCTGATGGCTGCAGTATTTGAGAGTAAGAAGGAAAGGAAAATGGATATAGGGATGGATGGATGGATGATGGATGGATGATGGATGGATGGAGTGATGATGGATGGATGGGTGAATGATGGATGGATGGATGGATGGATGGATGAGTGATAGACGGATAATGGATGGATGGATGGATGGATGGATGGATGGATGGATGGAGGAAGGAAGAGAGGGAGTGAGGGAGGGGGAGGGATGATGGATGGATGGAAGGATGATGGAGGATGGATGATGGATGGATGATGGATGGATGGAGTGATGATGGATGGGTGAATGATGGATGGATGGATGAGTGATAGACGGATAATGGATAGATGGATGGATGGAAGATGGATGGGTGGAAGATGGATGGATGGATGGATGGACAGATGGAGGGATGATGGATGAATGGATAGG